GAGGGTCTCCTGGAAACAGCCTCTCTACCCTTCGGGGTAGGGGTAAGGTCTGTGTACATATTATCCTCCGCAGACCCCACTTGTGAGATTATACTGGGTCGTTGTTGTTGTTGTTGTTGTTGTAAAATCACCAGAAGTGAAGCCGACTGTGGTGGTAAATAACAATCCTAAATGGAGTTAAATTTTGGACCACGTGGAAACCAATAAGAAATGTTGACTTACTCTTTGATATAAAATCATGCCAGGAGTACTGCAGGGAAGGAAGATCGAGTATGATCTGAGTAGGTCCAACTAGCGGTTTGATCTGCAATTGTTATCATAGCCAACACATCGTCTCAACATAGTGAAACTAAATTGTACTGTAAAAACTTGTAAAAGGTATTATTGATAAAAAAGAATGATAATTCAAAATCTAAGCACCATGCTTGCCTGAAGAAAGTAGGCAAAGGTGAACTTGCAAGCAAATATCACCAACCAATAGAGCAAATATCTGCAACATTTAACACACATGAAGATATTAAAATCTGCGCACATTTGACAGAAACCCAAAATTAGCACTCCGTGAGTAAATGAGAAAAAACGCAAATAATTTGAGACAAAAATCCATATTACAAGCAACTACCCATGGCTAAAAATCAAGATATTCAATAATAAAAAGCATATAACTTCTCTCATTATTTCTCGAAAATAACTTTTCTCAATTACAAACAACAGTACTAGAACGAAGATATTGCCTGGAAAAGAAAACAGTAACAAAACCATAAGGTATACTGGCATAAATTGACTACAGTGGAGCTGCACTTTATAGGAGAAGACAACTTAACCACGATACACAAAAAAGTAGAGGAAATATAATGTAATAGAAAAAAGAACCAAGAAAAACAAAAATTGTTAGTCGTGGAAAGTACTAAATCAAGATTGTTATCAAGTAATTTGTGGAACCTTACTTGTGGAACCCCAGACAGGGATTACATGAAAGATGGAGATAAATAACAACAACAACAACCATAGTCAACACCACAAAATCCTTTTCTTCAGTGTGTTTTAATACTTATATTTTCTTGTTGTGCACCATGGGAGACTGAAGTAAATGAAAACCATGGATCAAATCATCCATTAACAAATAATTCCACTCGTGATAAACGAGAATCAAGACTACTCTTACACAATTCAAAAGCTAAAACGTTAAAAGAACTAAGAACAAACCGTAGATAGTCAGTTGTTTTCTCAACAAGACCACGACCAACAAAGTATCTCTCCTGGAAACATAATCAATATGTTAAAAATATGAGCAAAGCTTAGTGGCAAAGGAGTCTTACAATGTATAGAAGAATACCTGATAGATCCACTTAAAAAATTGGAAGAAAGATTGATCAGACATTTCTGATAGTGTGTGACAGGCAGGTAACTTTGTCAGGAGCGCAAAAACAATTCGTATGCCAGCATAAACACCCAAAACCAGGATATAAAGGCGAAAATAAAAGGGGTCTTTGTTTGTATTCCTTTCTTCTAAAAGTTT